GACCTGACAGGCATGTTTTCGTCTTGGATGCCGCGTCGTGGCACCAATGGTACCTCTCCAATGGGCACTCTGTCGGCGCCTCCGTTGCATTTCTCTTGACGCCGGCGCAGCAGTCGCTCGACGTCTTGCAAGCGCCAGGAACACTCTTCGTGCATTGCAATGGTACATCCAGCGAGGTGTCGTATGCAAATGGAGAGAGTCTGGGACGAAAAGTGGCCGCTGTAATCGCCGAGTGCACCCGCTGTGACGAGGTGACGACCGACGCACTCACGCTGACATACCCAAGCACGTACCTCGGGCCGACGCTGTGGCTATCCTCGGACTCGGTTGTCGTGCACTCAACGCCCGCGTCTTTGGTTGCGATCGCTCTTACTAGATAATATATTATAGACTTATACGTTCTTGGCATTTAAATCACGATCGCTCTGAAAAGTGGAGTCCTCGACAAATGCGATACTCCACCACCGCAGACACTATTGGTATTTATCCTGGTAGGAACGTTTACGTGGTGTACCAGCATCCCAGGGGATTAATTCGTACATTCTGGCCAACCCATTGGCTATATATCAAGCCATTTTGACCAATGAAACGCAGTTATATTGGTCTTAGCCAATCATATCGCGCCAAATGTGTCCTGTTAAATGCGAATAAGGAATTCCTCTTAAGTGCTGTCACATCGCCGGACGTTATACTCGATTAAAGTATATCAATTTCGATAAAGTACGACGGCGCACTTGACTGAAATTCACGCAACTTTCCGATTAGGTGCGAATGTGAAAGCGCCGTCGTCGCAAATACCGGTAAACAACGCTTCGAAAGTTCCTACCAGCTCACCCCGCACGGGACCTGTTATAATATCGACTATTTTTTATAAACATTTTTAGCTTTGGAAAAAAGTGTTGTTTTCGTGGTGAGCCGTATGGGCGAGTTGAGGGTACAAGCAGCATGGACTACAAGAGCTTGGCTTCAATGTCTTTGACAAGGCTCTCCGAGACTTCCCACAGCTGACGGGCGAGATCGACGTCGGTTGCTTTCGGGTGCAGGTCGGTACTGACCTGGCAGTCAGCGTAGTAGCCGCCCGGCTGCACGGCCGGGTCCAAGGCAGCCACGATCGTCGTCGCCGCGCCCTGCGCAATCGACTTCATGGGCTCTCGGAACGCGCGCATCAACATGCCCGATCGCAAGCCTGAGAGACTTCGCACGGTGCTGGCAATTCCCAGGTGGCGGGTGAGCTCGGTCGCGACAATCACGCCGGGATGCAGCGCAACGGAAATGACGTGCTGGCTTGCGTACCGCTTGTTGAGTTCGGTGGAGAAGAGGACGTTGGCGAGCTTGGCCATACCGTAGCGCTCCCACTCGTAGTACGACTTGTCGCCGCTGAGGTCGTTTAGGAAAATACCTTCGTCTGGCGCATAGAGGTTTTGGCCCATGGACGAGAGGTTCACGACGCGCGCGGGTGCGTCGGCCGTGCCCGTCCACTGGAGCGCTGGCATAAGCAGCTTGGTCAAGTAGAAATGACCAATGTGGTTGACACCAAACTGCATCTCGAGCCCGTCGGTTGTCGTGGCCTTGGGACAGGCCATGACACCGGCGTTGTTGATGAGGACGTCCAGCCGCTCAAACTTGGCGCTGAACGCAGTCACAAACGCCTTGATGGACGCCAATGACGCCAAGTCGAGCTCCAAGAACGACACCTTGGCGTCATGCTGCGCTTTGAGAATCGAAGCCACAGCTGCGTCACCCTTCGAGGCGGAGCGACAGGCGATGACGACGGTGGCCCCCTTGGCCGCGAGGACACGCGCTGTCTCGAGGCCGAGGC